AACACACACACACACACACAATAATAGATAGAAAAAAAAAAAATACAGCAATCTATAACATGCTGAATCTTAATCACAATGTAATACTAGCAAAGCGCCCGCGGTGCGGGCAGTGCAGGCTACGTCCGCAGAAATAGCAAATGCAATGGGGATCTCACACTGACTGCTTGTATAAACTCGGGGCGCGCGTGAGTCCGCCTTTTCTTTTCTTTTTTTAATAAATGAGAAGGGGGGACCACGAGAAAAAGAATGGTCTGCCGGGGGGCACAAAACGACAGCCACGACCACTCGAGAAATGAAAAAAGAAAAAGAAAACAAAACAAAGGGGGGATACAAAACGACAGGCGCGAGACATGAAAAAAGGAAGAGGCAGACACAAAACGATGCGCAACGGAGAAAAATAAAAGGCCACATATCGGATGGCTCGCCTCCAAGATGTTCGTTTGCATCAACGTCGGTCGTGTACCCTGCCGCGGGCGCGCACTCTCGTTTAATGTCGCGCTGTGAACAATTCGAGATCCGCGCTCCTCTGCACAGTCCCCCGCCCTCAATCGCCTTCATCCGCGGCTCCTGACCAAAACTTCGACCCGAATCCGGCGTGAAACGCGTTATGGACTGCCCCCCGCGGCCAACGATGCTTAACGGATAGGATGCAGAATAAATCAAATATCCATATTGATAATTATAATAATTTAATTATATTATAAATACAATATCAAATATATAAATATATATATATATATATATATATATATATATATTAGCTTAGCGCCCGCGGTGCAGTTGGTGCGGGCAATGCCCGCACGTAAAAGAGCAGACAGGCTAGTCAATCATGCACATTGTGTCAAGATCTTGATTCACCACACACCAAACTCGCACCGGGACGCTAAGAAGTGCGCATGAATGTTTTAATTTTCATATATACTAAGGAATATATGTATTTATTTATTTTTACCAAAAGCAATGATTGAGGCCGGGGTCCTCACTGTCTACCCGGGGTAACCATCTTGCAGATAAAAAAAACTCAGCGTCACCATATCTAATGATGTAATGATGCTAAGTATGATGATAATGATTGTAAATGAAATGTCCTTGTGAGTTGGGCCTCTTCACCAAGCTACTTGGCGCCAGGTAGAACAATCTGAACTAGCTCTTCATTGTCTGGGAAAAGACATACGAAATTTCTGATTGAGTGATAACTCTATTCTATGTAGAGCCATACCATGAGATAGGAACCATTGACTGCTGGTTAGAGGGAAAGGGGTCAGGAAACTCCGCAGCAGGACGTAGAGGAATCATAGGGTCCACTGCGCACCACACTCTATTCATAATGACACCCCAGCAGATTGCTCTCATGGTTCTTGCGATAATTCGTTGGATGAGGGTGACCTGGGTGAGGGAACAGATGGCAGTTATGTGTGGCATTTTGTTTATCCGATGCATGACACAGATCATCATGATGAGGAAGATGACAGCCATTCAGTTGCTCCTTGCGCACGTGTCGCTTGCGGAGGACGGGCACGCCATTCTTGGCCTGCCACCATTGCCACGTCCTCGACGGCAGCGGTTCTGGGTAAGGCACAGAGCCGGCGGTACGTGGGAAGAGCTAAACATGGTGGGTCCCGAGCACGACAAAAAGTTCAGAGAGTACACACGGTTGACTAGGCCCATCTTCCAGCGAATTGTCGATCGAATCTCTCCTCGAATCCAACGGTTAAACACTTCGTGGAGGCAAGCACTGCCAGCGTCAATGAAGTTCGCGTTCACCCTTTACCGTTGGGCAAGAGGCGGGTCTTACAGGCAATGCGGCAACGACTTCGGGATGGGACTGCATAGTGTTGTCCGGTGTACGGAGAACGTATCGACAGCCTTGCTTGCGCACTACGGGGACACGGTGAGGTGGTCTACTGGGGCGTGTTTAGAGACCACTCTTGAGTACTTTGAAGGCAAAGGCTTCCCGAGGTGCTTCGGTGTTATAGACTGCACACATGTGTATCTGGACAAGCCACGCAACGGAAGAGCAGAGGCGTACTACAACAGGAACAGGCATTACTCCATCGTCGCCCAGGTTGTGTGCGATGAAAACCTTCGCATATTGGACGTGTGTGTGGGGGCGTCAGGATCTGTTCGTGATTCTCGTGTGCTACGAGTGCCTGATCTCTACTCCAGCGCGGAGGAGAGGAGGGCACCTTTCACGAGGAGGACGAACGTGTTACAGGACGGAACTGTCCGCGCCGGAGTAGAGATCAGGGCACCTTTCACGAGGAGGACGAACGTGTTACAGGACGGAACTGTCATGGGACGGTACCTGATGAGAGATGCAGGTTACCCGGTTCTGCCATGGTTGATGACTCCATATTCTGCAGTGAACAGAACTGCAGAGCAGGTGGCATTCAACAACAAGTTTTCTGCATTGCGTTGCGTCATTGAACGGTGCTTCGGGCGGTTAAAGGGAATGTGGAGGTGCTTTGGTCGCAAACACATTGTGAACATGCGAAATGTTTGCAAGCAGTTCCTCGCGTGCTGCATTCTCGACAACATCATCATCGACGAGGGGATTCCCGTGGACGAGGAGCTACTATGGAGACAAGCAGATGAAGACGAAGAAAGCGATGGAGACGACGACGCACCGGAATCCGACGACAGCGGTGGTGACGACGACCCGCCGGATGGGGACTTCGACATCGACGAGGCGTTGTTACGTTGCGAGGGGTCTTTTATCTATGCGAGCCATCGCCAGCGCCACCGCGTAGCAGAGCGTTTGAGGGAGGCTATACATGCCCATTCGGACCACGTTGCCAGAGTTTTTCGATAGGGTGCTCAACACTCATCGTGTGGCACGGTTTCTGTCGTTATGTAACCGGTCATGAGAGAGAGAGAGATAGAGAGAGAGAGAGAGAGAGAAATCATTGAACAGCATTTCCCTTGTTCGCAATGCAAGTTCGTGCTTTCCTCGTTGTTTCGACGTCCACTGACCTTACAGCCTGTGTCCGCCATGCAAGTTGGTCATGGTAATGACCCCTGTTAGGACGACAACAATGTCAAAATGTGAAAGAACCGACAAACATAAAGATGGAATATCCTGTTTTGTAGACATCCTTACAAATGTGTTAATTGCAGATAAATCTCTTGCTTTTTTTTTTTTTGTATTCGGTTAGTCTCCCTGCATCGCCCATCCTAGCAGGTTGGACCTGCCTGTCCTCGCACTTGTTTCCTCCCACCGTGTTAGCCGACAGTACGCTCATTGAGCCAGTTAGCCGGATCACGTGCTTTGCAAGGCACGTTCTGTTTTCTAATGCCAATGTCGAACGCATCTTCGAAGTCATAGTAAATGGACACCAACCGGTGTGCAACAAGGCTTTGCCAGGCCTCTCTTTTTGCCACCGCTGCGGCCAACACTCTAACGGCTTTGCCCTTCGTTGACCCCCAGCGCTCGCCCTTCAAGTCCGATCCTATACGGATCGCTTTCACTTATATGCAAGCGTGTAGGATTTGCCATTCTAGTCGACGAATGTGGAGCATGGCGACGACCCGGTCTTCCTCCACCTGGCAGACGTACCATGTCTGCACCCCTTCCTCCTGACAGTGTTCAGCCCGCTCGACCGCCCTTTCCACTGACAATCTCTGTTGGGAATCAGCCAAGACAACGACTTGCAAAGACCCCCCTTCGGAATCGACTGTGCTCGCCATTGTCGATGACTTGCCTAAGCTTCACGACGTGCCCCGCCGAGAGGTGGTACTTCGCATGGAGAGGGGGCTGCGAACAGGCAAACTATGATACACAGCCGGTGTGGCTGGACGGTTCACCCAAGAAGTGTTGATAAGCAGACCGTGGTTGGACTGCACATGAAATGTGTGACGGGGCAGAGGCTGAGCAGGGAGGCTGATAGAGGGAGAGGGAGAGCGAGGACACACACACACACACACACACACACACACTGAAATCGAAGCAGACTTTGCGCGACTTGACGGACGCAGGCAGGAACTGGCAAAGTTTCGAAGTCGAAATTTCCGATTCTCAAACGCAATGTCGAAGCAATTCACACTGAGGCAAGCAGTGAGGTGTAAAACTTCTCGCTCTCAGAAGAAAGACAAGAAGACATTTCTGTCGGTCCGTAGAATGATGTTCGTTCTATAAACGTTTTTTTTTTTTTTTCCATTTTCTTGAACGTCCTTGGTCCTTGGTCTTCTAGAATGATGATCCTTCTATAAATGATGATCCTTCTATAAATGATGATCCTTGGTCATTGGTCTTCTAGAATGATGATCCTTGGTCCTTCAAACACAATGTCCATATCCAATTTTTTTTTTTTTTTTTCATTTTCTTGAACATCCTTGGTCTTCTAGAATGATGATCCTGGTGGAACACATCCGCCGGGTACCTGGTTTGTGAGTAAGGTTACGAAGGAAGATCGAATCTGGAAGTTTGTGCAGACACAGGCAGACGGGAAAAGAACCTTTCAGAGCTGGCTGATCAACACCACAGAACCAGATGAAGTGAGTGTCCAACCTCCGGTGGGACTCGAACTCACACAGGTTAGAGTGACGGAAAACACAGATGCCTCGGGAAATTTGTGTGTTGCCATTTTTGACAACTGCAACCCAGTGTCCCAACTACGGTTGGACCCCAATCAATGGGCCTGGAGGGCCAGGGGGAGACAAGGAGAAAATTTAAGTTTTTTGGACTATCACCAAAGAATCGGATACCACCTGGTCATCCCAGCCAAGACCCCAGAAGTAATATCCAGATCTCGATGGACTCGTCTACTAAATATGGAGGGCGAAGAAGTGGGAAAAGCACTGGCTAAATGTTGGGAACAACTTAAAATCATTGCCTGTCAACATCAAGCAGCCACTTTGTGGTTACTGTCTTTAATGGCAACCCCATCGGTCGTCTGGCTTATGGAACACGGACTTCGGATTGATCTAACATGCAGAAGATCTAGCTGGGCCTTTGAAACCACCATACACCTCTGGTGGGACTGTCCTGTGTCCATAAGACTGTGGAAGTGGATCACATCCATCTAGGACAGAATTTCAGGATCGGCTTTCCCCTGGTCCAAAATCCGGGTGCTACTGGGAGGGGTGTCAGATGGCTTCCCCCTCTCCAAGGGTTGGGGCTATGTTGCTCATACCATTCGAGCAATTTGCATGATGGTCATTTGGCAGGAACGCAATGATAGAATCTTCAATAATAAGGATTGGCCAAACAAACAGTTGAGGGCCTCCTTCTTGCGAGGCCTCGGAACTGCAATCTTGGCGGACTGGAGTCGGAAAGTGACTACAACCAACAGTAAGACTAGTGGACTGGCCTGGTTCTGTGAAACATGGTGCCTACAGGGCTCAATTGTAACGGTGGAAGACCCAGAGAAACCCGTTCTGCAGGAGTGGTTATTTAGAGGTAGAGAGTAGGAAAGTTTGATCCAATGAAACACAAACCTAGTTCGCTCGGTTTTTGCTCGGTCACAAGTAGACAGGCAGAGGGAAAGTTGGTGGATGGAGCTAGATACTGTTACTACAGGATCCCGGGGGACTATGTATCCCCAACGGCCGCGGTCACCGCGGGCATGACCGCGGCCCATGCAGTCGACCGCGGGCCCGCGGTAATGACCGTGGCGGCCGCGGGCGAAAAATGTGCGCCGCGGGCAGGGGAAGGGGGCTACCCGAGGTCGGGGTCGGGATTCCGGGGGCGCACCCCAGGCCCCAGCCCCCTACATTGAAAAAAAAGAAAAAGACTTAAAAATGGGCGGGTCCATTTTCGGGGGGGGGGAAGAAAAATAATGGACCCCCTTTCATTGATTTTTTTTTTACTTTTTTTTCTGTTGTATTGAACCATTGCAAAGTTTTTTTTTTTTTTTTTTTTTTTGGGGGGGGGGGGGGTTGATTGATTGATTAATTGGTTGATTGATTGATTGATTGATTGATTGATTGATTGATTGATCGATCGATTGGGTGATTGATTGATTGATTGATTGATTGGTTTGATTGTTTTTTTTTGGGGGGGAGGGATCGCTTGATTGATTGATTGGTTGATTGATTGATTGATTGGTTGGTTGATTGAACGCACGTGCACGCGCGCACACACACACACACACACACACACACACACACACACACACACACA